TTTTAAAAAATTATTGATAAACCAACAAATAACACCAAATTTTCCTCAAAATTAATAAAACCAAATAAAACACACGAAATTCAAAAAAATAATAAAACCAAATAACTTTGTACACTAATCGTAACCCAGAATCGATAGCATCGGCGCTATAGTAGCCATATTTCTGACCACATCGTCGGGTATGCGTCCGACCCATTGGGACAGCGCCTCGATATTGATTGGTTTAATCACTTGATCCGTTGACAATCCAAATCTTAAAGCATAAACATAGATTAACATCATGGTAATGTCTAATTCAAAAACTAGCTAAGACATTTCTTAAGACAATTTTAAGTCGACGTAGGTAATATTTAATTACCGACTTTTATGTTAAATACATGAATTGTATAATTAATACAATATTTGTATACAAATGATAAGAGAGATATTTGTCACAAAATTTGCGCCCAAAGCTCATCACTGGTCTAACTATTTTAAAATCAAAAATAAATACTTTGATAGAGAGATGTCATTGTCTTTGCCGATGAGCCCTTTGTGATAAAGGACTGAGTCATTCCAGGGAACCGATAGAAAGCTCAAAATTTTTGGTAACCATACTTTGGGCTGAAGTACTAACTGTTCGTATCGTACGGGAAGACAGGCATCACTTCCCAAACGTTGGCATTGTTTGTGCTGTAAAAAATACAATTGATTTTGTATAGATAATAATTAAACTGACCAGATGAAATATTGAAATTAGCCTTAAAATTGCAGACTATTGGCAATTATGATTTGATTTGATCTGGACACTTTATAAATTTTATGTAAAAAATTTCATTTTAACACGGACAAGTTCTGTCAATTATGATCAATCCAGGTCATTCATGGGCATCTGGTAACTTTAACAACAAGACAAAATATTTTTTAATAAAATGCATACCATACTAGAAATATCTTTGTTCCACATCTCCAGGCATTGGCGGAAGTCATTTAAATCATAGCCACTAATAGTCACTTAATGTTTTGCATAAAAATATACACCAATTATCCATACATTTAACATTAATTCATAATTATAGATAATAATAAGCGCACATTTCGACTGATGATGGAGTGAACGACTGCCCGACCGTCTCGTATCATAAGTAATAGCTTAGAGTTTGGGAACAAATGTCTTAAATATAGGGCCGATTGAAAAGTGAGCGGATCTTTATTGCAAAGCCTGGGGGCAGGCGTTCCGTGTTTGACCATAATCTCCAATATAAAGCCGGCCATCACTGAGTCCAACAAGTGGTCAGTAATGCCGGCCTCTGACAGGCGCTGTGATTGAAAGGACGATTTGCGCCAATTCCTGGACATGTGTAACAAATCGGGAATAACTCGCGTCTCTTCACCGCATCTGATGTCCGGATGCGAGTCGAGGAGAACCCTCATTAATGTGGTGCCACTTCTCGGCACACCGCCGATGAATACGAGCGGCGAATTCCGATTGTAATCAAACTTTTCCTCCGGTTTGTCGCCCTTTTCCTTGTTTTTACTGATTGTAAATCTCTTTGTAATTGAATGTAATCTATGTTTCAATTAATTGTAATTATTTAGTGTATTTAAAGAATGAAGTTTAATGTTAATGGGTAAAATGCCAAAAAATTAATATTAAAAATTTTTATCTATTTTTAAATTGCGAAATTAATTATCATCGTAAGCATAATTAAAATTGATATAAATGATGTTCGGCAATTACGTTATTCACTATAAAAAACGTACATAACTGATACTACATTTCTTAATTTTGATATAACTTTTATAGATTATGTCAGATATGAGAAATTCCTTCGGATTTCGATTCTATTTATCCATACCTTTCTATTGATATATAATATGACATGGTTATTTATAAAATAAAAGAATTTATTTTCAAAATTTTGCCGATAAAAGTGGTCACTACGGCCAGACCCGAAAGTATCTGGACATATGAAGTATATCACTCGACTACCTATTAAGTGTACTTTCATTTTATAACAATAATTCCAAAATGCCCGCTATCCCACAAATGGGCATCATCTTTAGCGCTAGTTAATTGACCATTATTTGTTTTACGTTTATTAACTTAATGATTAAACATTTTGAATAATATACTCACAAATAGTTGTAAAGAAATGTTTTTTGAAGATGATTACAAAAAATATTTATTGCAAATTCATTGCAATTTGCAAACAAAACTCAAATAATAAAATATGAGATGGAAAATAAATCGCTAAAATAAAATCAAACTTTTAAATATCTTTTAATGAATATGATACTAAAAGTTATGTCTTATAAATATAACAAAAAAACTAAATTATAATTTATAAAATAAATAAGTAATAATTTGTGTTATTTTTAATGCATTAAGAAACACATTTATATAGCTAATCAAGAAATTTAATTTCTACAATCATTGCATCAAAAGTATTAACCGTTGACTCAAACTGTTATTTCTGACATAAATATAGTTACTTAAGGCATAGATTTGTATACGGTAATAGCAAATTGTAAAGTTTGTTGAAACAATAACAGCATTTAAAATTTAAATTTAAATAATTTTGATTACTTTTAACTTCTAATTATAATTAATAACATGTAATTAATGAACAATATGTGGCAAACCTCGGCTGAAATGTATTAATTTTGTGGTGAATGGTATGCGAAACAAGTGGGAGAAGACAACTGATATATGACAGCAATTGTCACCAAACATAACACTCCCCACAGAATATAAATATTAGCAGTTCTTCCGGACATTATTTCTCATACAATGTACTTATATGACAACCATATGTCCAGTAATTACAAATGCAAATTAACCTGAAATTAAAAGTTGTTGTAAATAACTTATTAAAAGCAAAAGAGAGAAAATGAGTTTATTATACAATTATTTATTTCATAGGTAAATACAGACAATAGATTTACTTAACTCTTGGTTGAAAAACACTGAGAATGAGATAACTCACCATAAAGCATCCTCTGATATACATATACACATGTAAATTAAATACTACATGGTAAAGATGTTTTTAGTTACCGTAGAGCAATAATAATGATATGCAAATTAACTTGCATATCATCAATTAATATTATATTAATTTACGTAAAAAATAGGTATACAATAAATTTAATATTTAATGTAGCTTTGTGATGTGGTGTGAATACGTGATGTTTGTTCTGTACATTTGGTCGACATTTGTGGCCAAAACCAGTCACTAAAATTTTAACGTATATATTCTAGTATGAGGTTTGGCATAACACTACATTTGCCTTACTTTACATTTATTAAAATTAAGATGCAAGCTAAAAATAAAAGTTCAATTTTATTATATTTTTTTAAATAGTGGATTTAAGAAATTTATTACCAGAGAAAGTATTAAGAGATGAATGGCAATAAAACTCAGTACATAATCAGTAAATTCATAGCTATCCATAAGAAACATATCATAACAATAGAAACCAATGTCACGGACAGAGAGTCTCTCAATGAATGTATGAATTTTCAATCGCTGGTCAATTGGTATTGACTTGTGTTTCAAAGCCGAGTACAGTATAGGCAGAGAATTGTTGGCCGATTTAGTAATCCGTGTGCACATGTATGTGATGAGAAACACTATGGTAAATAATACAACAAATGCAGTACAAAACACAAAAGCGACAGTAAATCCCGTGTCCGGTTCAAAGGTTAAGTACAAAAGTAACTCAAAGCCCGGAGTAGTTATATAATAAAAAGTAAATAGTACAAATTTATAAAAGTGGTTTAAATTTACTGTCATTTTAGTGATCACATTATGTTTGCCGATTGCATCCATAAGTGTAGAATATTTACCATATGAAACCGATAAATATATCTTATAATTAATCTCATTGTATTTATATTTAATTTAAGTGTTGGTCACCAGGAATAAGATGACCCAGATGAATGCCAATGAATATAACTCGATCAACATTATCACATCTAAAACAGCCCAGAACATGATCCCAATTAACGTGAAACCAGAATTTGGTGTTGAATAAGAATTAATTAAAGCGTTGATAAACACACTTACAGTGAGTATAACCATTGGCCAAAACGACTGATACATAAAATATTTGGTCAATAAATTTGATTTTAATATGAATCGCTTTTTATTTACTGAATTCAGTGGAAGTGCCGTTCGTTTATATTTAATATTATTGAAAAAATTAATAACATATAAATTATGCTTAAACTTGCAAATCTGTATTATAACCTCAATAAATCCAACCAAAAACGATGCAACACACATTAACATTGCAAATAACACCGGATTTTTTATCAGGTAAGTGGCGTCCGACACCATAGCTCTTATACCCGGTGTGTTAACCATCGTTGAGATCGCGTACTTCAGACTCATTATAAAGATTATGAGTCGACCCGCGAGTACTAACAGCCGTCATCTCCACGTAAACACACCGTTCGAGTAGTCATCAAAACCGGACACAAGTATGAAATATTTTAAGCAAAACTTTTCCAATCTTTCAATCGGTGTATTTGTGTCTAAATTACTTTGTATGAAGTCACTATATTTCTTTTTCACCGCCATTAACCTTGTTACCTTTATTCTCGTCTCGGACATGTTTGTTTTGGCAATTAGATTACAATTTTTATGATAAGTATAATTTTAATTTAAAATGTTGTTTCTTTACATACATAGAAATTGCAATCAAAAACAACACAAACAAACAACTAGCATAACAATATATTTATGTTTGATGAAAATGACTTATTAAGTATAACACAAATATTTATTTTATTAAATGCGTGTTTTATTACTTTATATTTTTAATTAATTTTATAAGAATTATGAGTTTTATTAGAAAATATTAGTATAACTTCCTTAATCAATATACAGATAATATATTTTATAAAATATTAGCAAACAACATAAATTATATAAAATTGAAGTAAATGTAAACATTTCCATTGCACCAGTTTACATTTATCACTTTTATTTCAATTGTTATTTCATTATTAGATCAAATAACTAACTTATAATTTTTAACCACTATTCTGATATGAATAATGTGATTTATAGGATCGTTCGGCTGCCCCTCCCCCACCCTATAGGAAATAACATGGAATACCACACTTATACTTTAACTTGGGGCTAATATTATCATATGGGTAATGTTAAGTCTATGGGGGAAATTTTTAATGGGTTTCTATGAGATTACAGGTTAAGTCTATGACATTGGGTTAACATGGGTAGTGTTAAGTCTACGGCATAGGGATGACATGGGTAATGCTAAGTCTATGGTATAGGAATAGCATGGATAATGCTAAGTCTATGGCATAGGGATAACATGGGTCTAAGTTTATGTGAAGTGCTAAACCTATGGACTCTTATTGAATGTGTAGACAATCCTAATCTATTCTTTGAGAATCACCCGAATAGTGGTTAACGTATAGTATTGCTGTGTGATCTTTGTTTATAGTATATCAGCATAATATTAGTATATTGATATTTGTTATGCATTAATATTGATTCATCAAAATGTAAATTATTTACTTTAAATTTAAAATTAAATTGATTGTTGATATAAAATAATGAAACGGGAATTTTTAATTTCTAACTAGTGGGTCTATTTTGCGCTAGCTATAAATGTTATAACTTATAACCAACGTCATAAACTATTTTTTTATTAACAATACAGTAGTTTATAATAAAAAAATAAATTAATTAAACATTAATCAATAAATTCCAATAAGTTTAATATCTATATTCTTATATTTAGTATCATGCTAATTAATTCTAATGGGATAACCATTATCAACTTTATTATTAAAGTAGACAAGCTAAAATGAAAGGTATTTAATTTTGTAACTAAAATAACATAAATTGTTTAATTAATAATTAAAAATTTAATATTAGAAACATAATGAAAACAGTGTATGAATTGTTATTGGTATTAATGAGAGTACTTGTCGGCTCATCGTATGGACACGCAGTTATAGCTACAAACAAAAGCGATACCGACTGTCTGGCCACTAAATGTTGTACACAATAAATAACATATAATAAAAATTAATAAAATTACTTTTAATTACTTAAAACTTACATTAATAAAAAATTATGGCGCAAGCTAAAAATATAAATTCAATATTATTATACGTTTAAAATAGTGAATTTAATAAATTTATTACCAGAGAAAGTATTAATAGATGATTAGCAATAAAACTCAATACATAATTAGTAAATTCATAGTTATCCATAAGGAATATATCATAACAATAGAAACCGATGTCACGGGCAGAGAGTCTCTCAATGAAGGTATGAATTTTCAATCGCTGGTCAATTGGTATAGACTTGTGTTTCAAAGCCGAATACAGTATTAGTAGTGAATTGTTGGCCGATTCGGTAACCCATGTGCACATGTATGTGACGAAAAACACTATGGTGAATAGCACGGTGAATACAGTACCAAATACAACAGCAATAGTAAATTTAGTGTCTGGTGCAAATGTTAGGTACAAAAGTAACTCAAAGCCCGGTGTACATATATAATAAAAAGTAAATAGGAAA